CTCATGGGCAGGGCCTGGGGTTTAGATGCTGCCCCCCCCAATACACACCCACCCTGCCCAAGGTCGGGAGACCGTTCCCTTTTTCCGTAGGAAGAGACTCCCGAGCAGCTTCGAATCCCTGGGAGCCATTGGGGGTTTGCTGAGGCTGTCGGAAGCCCTGCGGAGGCTCCTCTCTCTCTCTCTCTCTCTCTCTCTCCATCCTGCACCACCACACCCCCTCTGTGCTCCCTGTGGAAAGACGACGGGGGTTGGGGGTGCCCCTGCCCACCCCCCACTGCCAGGGAGGAGGGGTCACCCGCTCAAACCCTCCTGCTCCGTCTCCCTCCTCAGTGTTTCGGGCAGTTCATCTTGACGCCGCACATCATGACACGGGCCAAGAAGAGGATGGTGGTCATGCACCCCATGCCACGGGTCAATGAGATCAGGTGCGAAGGGGGAGGGGCGATGGCTGGGGGCTTCATTCGGATGGGCCTGTCCCCTGAGTTTATAATGTGTGCGTGTGTGTCTGTGTGTAGCGCTTCACTAAGACACACTTTTATCCTCCCCTCCCTTCAGAGCTCTTCGTCTCCTTGAAGACAAAAACCAGCTGCCAGAGGGGAGGGGTCCTTGGGGAGGTGGGGAGCACAGCTCTTGGCCCTGGGTGGCTTTGGAGGGGAGGGGGAGGGGGCCCAGGGCCTCCACCCTGGTCGAAAGGAGGGGGGGTGGACAGGGCTGCTGCCTGGGGAGGGATGGAGGCAAACCCCCCCCCAATTCCTCTCTCTCTTCTCCTTCCAGTGTCGAGGTGGACTCGGATCCTCGGGCAGCCTATTTCCGGCAGGCAGAGAACGGGATGTACGTCCGCATGGCCCTCTTGGCCACCGTGCTCGGGCGCTACTGACGCCGGCCCAGACGGAGCGCTCCCGACGGCAGGGCTGACGGCCGGCTCCTGTTTGGTGCCATCCTGCCGGGCGTATGCCCACCACCGGGGACCCAAGGGCGTCCAGGCAGATGTGGGGCGGGGGAGGGCTGGGTCACTCTCTCTGGAATGGACGCGGACGCCTTCCTGCCTTCTCCCCGGCTGGTGTCTTCGCCTTGCGGTGGTGGTCCTTCCGGCTGAAGAGCCAGGGTCGTTTTCTCCTGGGATCAGATCCTGGCCACGTCTGGCACGTGCTGCCCCTCCCGCCCCCCTTCAGCTGCCCCTGTTTTGCGTGGGGCGGGGAGGGCGACCCATCCCTTCGTAACTCTGCTGGCTGCCCTTTGAGAAGGAGCTGCCAGCTGTTGTTATTTTTCTGCTCAGATCCGCGGACGAAGCGGCTTCCGACCTTCCTTCTTTTTTTAATAAAATAAAATTAGTGGAGCACAACCTGTTCTCGGGGCCTGCAGGGAAGGGAGGGGAGGGGTTCAAATGATCCCGGGGGGGGATTCCTACAGGAGCCTGCCCTGAGGGATCCCCTGCTCCACTTGAGGGGGGCTGGACTAGACAGCCTTGGGGATCCCTCCCAGGCTGGTCCTGGGGGCAAACGTTAAAGGATGGGCGAAGGCCGAGCCGGGGGGGGGGGGGGGGGCGTCGCGTCCCCCCTCCACCC